TAACATTCGTCCAGTGAAGATTTCTGCAGCGTTAGATATATCTAGCATTCGTACGATAAAGGTTACGAACTTTTTGGTGGGAGGGGATCCTTGTCTCCTCCGATTACAATTTAAAAGCGAAATAATTCAAAATGTTGCCTTCTAAAAGTTCTGTTGACAGTTGAATGCTTTATACGAATGCATGAAATTTAAACAAGGCTCTCGTATAGTGCCCGGAACCTCAACTGCTAATCAAGAGTCAGAGGCCCTAAGGAACTCCCTTCAAACTTCCGAGGACTGGGGAGTGAATGGGGCCACTTCTTCACTGCACCGGAGACAGCCACAGTTACACGAACACTGAAAGGGAACAGACAGGGCGGAAAAGCAGCAGACAGGCGTCGTCGCAGTCTGGTAGTGTTGCCGGATGAGAGACTCCAGGCATCCTCGAGGCCATAGTCATTGAAGAAAAAAAAATTAACCTGAACATTCTTCGAATCCCATTCAGGGTTCAAAAAGGGAATCCTGTATCTTTCCTTCCACTGTTCCACCCCTACGCACGTTTCCTCAATATGAGATGCTGGTGAGTCAGCATCGTCGGTATGAATGCGTGTGTAGGAAAGGAAAGTAAAGACAGAGCCCACCAAAGTTCAAATGCACTTGACACGACAGATAACTGTTACTTTGAAAATAATGCAGATGCGTTTTGTCTGTCGAATCTGTACTTTTCGATGATGAAAGAGGAGGCAATTCTTTTCCTCCTCTAAAAAAATGCGAACCCATGCAACAGAAGCAGCTCACGTTGCATAGGAGACGGCCTTTTTTATCTTCACCAAAAGCGCATTAAATCCGTGCGGCCCACTGGTCCAGGCCCAGTGGAAAAGGGGAGACAGAGATGAAGTAAAAAAAAAAAAAAGAGTGAAAAAAGAGGGGGGGGGGGGGAAAGCGATAGTGGCAAAGTAAGAATTAGGCGTCCGCATGGACGGATCCCTCGCCCCGCGGCTGTCTGGCCCTGCTTCACTTGTGTCTCATGCATTTCTTCAGACCCTGATTCATTCCCCTCCTTGCTAAGGTATGGATTAATTTCTTCATCGTACAGCAGGATTGGAAGTAAATAGCGAAGTCGTTTTATCCTGAAGTGAATATTCATGAAAATATTTAGAATAAGGATGATTCATAGTAAGTACGGTATCGGTATAGGCATCGTGTGCCGTAAACTAGAGGTATCTGAGAAAACGGGAGGAGACGGTGGACTGAACACGGTCAGAAGCGAGATGGAATAGTGAGAGCGGAGGTAGAGAATAAATGACTCGAGGACTCAAGATCATTTCAAGGAAACGATATTGACCGTTGAACCAGTCGCTTCCTTCAATGAATTAATAAGCCGTCACCATCAGGCCCTACCAGAAAGCAAGGAAGGATTATGTAGTGCTAGGGCCAGGATGGTACTTTGCCTAGCACTGTGGGTTAAAAATGAAAGGCCAGAGGGAGCTCTATAATTACTCTATTGACTTGACATTTGAAAACTAATAAAATGGTATAAAAATAAAGAAAGAAAGACATAAGTGAAAGACAATGAACAGTAGGCTCAGGCCATAGGCCGGAATGTATCCAACGGGCAAATCAAATCATGTTTGACAGGCGATAGGCCATGAAAAAACACTGAATGAACAGACCAGCCAGGGACGTGCAGATCTACAAAGCACGGGCAGACCAACGACGACGACGAAAACAAGCAAGTCTCGGAAAAACCAATAAGGGAATGTGCCGACCAGCAAGGCTCGGGAAAAACCAGCAAGGGAATGTGTTGACCAGCAAGGCTCGGGCAGACCAAGCACCACGACGACGAAACAAGCGCCAACACCGGAAGACGGGATCTACTGACACACCCCCAGCTCTGGCTGCTCTCTCGTATCAATGTTCAGGTGTCATGTGAGGCAGAGGAGAACCCCCACTTGGAGCAGTTAGAGTGTTCATCCACGTCCATGCTTGATAAAAACCACTCCTCCAGCGAAAAGCAGGCACAGTATACAACTTGTCCTTAAAACCTCTGACTAGCTGGTTTAGTCCTTTTTAGCAACACTGGATGCTCGTCCTGTCGTCTGCTCCTCAGACACATGACACTACAATTAACTCGTGACGAGTCCTAGTTATTTATTTCCGAGTTTCCTTTTCTGATTGTTCCCGATCGGGAAATTCCTTTTCGCCATTCCAATTTCTCACTGTTCACCTGGAATGCCGAAACCAACTATGCAGTCACTTTCGCGATCCGATCGAAGACACCTTTGCATTTAAAGCGGGAATCAAGATGAATCTGAGCGGTAAACAGATTCCCTTTAGCAACAGGGCTGCATCTGCTGCTCAGAGCGAGACAATACAACACAGGGCTCAAAAAGTGATGGAAGTGGTAACGGCAGAACTTCTAGTATGCACCCATCACTATTGTCGGCGATGCTACATGCATACCTTCGAGGTTTGGAACAAGTGCCTGAAAGAAAATCCCAAATAGGAATGATCTAGAGTTCCAATGAGAAAATTGATCCAAATTAGGGCGTTGCAGTATGGGATAAATTGCTCGGTAGGTGTACCGTGACTCGATACCATGGTATACCGGTAATACCGGAAAAGAGAGAGCGGGGGTGTGGGGGTGGGGTGGGAGGTATACGTATGCTTCAGTAACAAACTCCGAGGAAAAAAGAAACCAAGTGGAGAGCGAGTCTTTCTATTGTGGTGTCGAGCTATTCGCTCGTCCGTTTTATGCCATTCGATTGAAAGCAACGCGATTGCGTTCGTTTCGACCAAATGGATGGATTCAGTAGGCGTTCCCAGGAATAAGGCAGCGATTGATGTTGCCGGGAAGACTCAAATTATGAATCTCAGAAAAAAAGAAGCATCATGAAAGAGACATCATATTATTGTGCACTGCCGCACGTTTCATATTGGTATCGAGTGCTCAGGCTAACCGAGCGGAGGGGATAGTCAAGGCGGTAATGTACCCACAAACGACGGGACTATGGTCCTTGATACTGGATTAAATACACTCCGATGACTTCCAGGAAGGCTTCGGGTTTTCCTAGGCGGTGAGCGTCACCGTAGATGGAGATTGCGAGCATAGTTGACAATTCTTTTTTTTCAGAAACGGTTCTAGTTATGGCAGCCGTGGCAGCCGTATGATGAGAGACGGTGTCCTGCGGATTCCGTACCGCGGACTACGGGATGAACATGGACGGTATTCCACGGTTTTCATATGGATTTCATGTGGCGATAACACCAAAAAATGTAGAAGGGGTCGGTATGATTATCACGAGAACGGTATGATGAGAATACCAGTATACAGCAACGCCCCAATCCCATTTCATGGAGCGAGAATGGAAGAGATACTGGGAAAAGGGTCACGAGTTGTTTCTTCTCGAATGAGATTCTGTATTCCAAGGGATTTTCTCTTTCGCAGCTGGGGATACCCATTGTTCAGGTTTTCTTTTTTTTCCTGGAATGATATGCGAAAGTCAACATAAATTTTCAAAGGTTGTGCATCAGTGAACCCGAGATGTGACTCAAGTTCTTCGCGCAGCGTTCGAATTGACGATGATTGAGAATGAGATGAAATCAACAGTCTTTGTCACTATCGTCATTAAGCCCTCCGGTTTTGCTTAGCTGACCTTGGCAGTGTGCGTGTCAGCGCAAAAAACAATGGAACTGGAGCGTTTAATGAATGTTCAATAAACGTTTCATTTAATGTGTTGCGAAATTTCCATGAGCGTCCTCGGAACGTTCCTTGACAGTTCAAAAGTCCAGAATTGAGAGAGATAAAAAATAGTAGCGGAAAAAGGTCGAGCTCCTCAAAAAAAGTATTGGAGATAATTCCATCTGTATGAGGTACTGACTATCTACAGCTGGTACTTTGGCGTCATCTAGCATCGATGTGCAAACCTTTTGTTTCTAGCCACTGTCAGACGGATAGCACGGTTATTGCTCAAGAAAAGTGTTCAACGAACGTCCGTCAATAATGTCATGTATTGGCGATGAAATGGCACCTTAGTTTAGCGCTCAAAAGCTGCTCATCCCTGAACATTGAACGTGAAAGAACCTCTTTGAGCCGGGGTTGAGCATCCTCCTGAACGTTCTTGTGCTACTTGGAAAATGAAAAAGATACTGAAGAAACCCAGATTTTTTGCTGGTCATACGAGGTGCTCCATCAGTCGTCACAGAAACAAGCTTTGCCAGGCTGATATTTTGGGCGGAGAATTCTTTCATCACTGCACTGAAAATGTTTTTTCCTCTTGATGTTTTATTGCAGGTTTATCAGCTTCACAAGTTCCTCACAAATTTCATGATCAACAGCTTATCGAACAAACTACTAATTGCTCATTATTACTGTCACTGCTTTCATCTAGGCATATTGAGAATTCAGCAACCATTTGCAAATCCCTCTTGAGCTGCTCAGGGATATCCCAGGCAGCAGGAGTATGTTTAATTCATATCAACTTGATGTGGACAAATCTACAACAGCAAGTGGATGTGACATAAAACTCACGTTCATATTGACAAATTATTGTATCAATAACTTGTCAATTGTGTACCACTCCATGAGCATCAATATTGATATGTGAATTTAACAATAAATAAACGTTGATATTTACAAGGCCATTGCATCAATAACCTGTCAAATTTGTACCTCTTCTCCAACATTAATATTGACGTGGATGTTACGTCAATTTCACGTTAACACGTGCAAGGCCATTGTCAATAACTTGTCAAATGTATATCTCTTCACCGTAAACCTTGACCAGGAGGATCAACGCCGATTTTCATGTCCACACATCGGTGAACACGCAGTGACATGCAAAATAAGGCTTTCATAAAAGAAATTAAGATCAGCATGAATGGGCCTCAAAACAGTATCTGAGAAGGCCTGTGTTGAATGATTTGATTGGCTCCCATTATCCTCTTTTTCTCAAGGTGGCATGCTTCATAAGAGAAGTTGTATTCATTATAGATTGCCAAGTCTAATGCCAGCAAATTAATNTCCTTCATCATGGCCAACAAAATGCTGTGACAGGTGCACTCACAAGTACCTGAAAAGCAAATAACAAAGGATGAGAAATTGATGAATTCACACACCACATGTAAAAATTCAAGTTCCACATTAGATAGTGAAGGCTGCTTAGGAATGTTGAACATCTCTCAGGTGCTTCAAAATTACAGAACAGTAACTCACAAGCTGGTTTTGAGAGACTTGGTTGCTGGGATGGATGAGGAGGATTGAGAATTGGCTTAAGAATACGCTTTGAAGCATGGACTTTTGTCAGGTCAGGAGTGCTCCAGAAACCTGCACAGGAGGGATTGGAATGTGTTTGTGTTGAGGAAGATGACAACAATTTATTGGCTTTGGAGCCAAGCCAAGGGATTGAAGTTCCAGCTTTGAGTTAAGTGACTTCTTCCTCATCATCAGATGGCTCAAATACAAATGAGCTGCTCAGTGAGTCACCATCATCTTCAGATGAAGGTGGATATGGGATAGGTGACTTGTGTTGTCGCTAAGGAAGATGCTTTTTTTGGCTTCCTCTCTCCAGATAATGAGGTCTTTTTCTTTTTTCATAATCAGGAGTGGCCACATCACCACTCTTCTCAAGCTTCTTAACTTTTGCAGAAACCTGGTTCTTGTTTGCTGCAATACAATAGAATTCCATAAATTGCTTTCTTCTTAAGAGCTGAAAACATCTGGTAATACAGGAAACATATCACAGCAACTCAGGAAGACTAACCTAATGCAATGAACTGGGAATGTAATATACTAATTAACCCTTTGTGCCCCAAAGTCATAAGCCTGGTATGACATTGCACATTAACACTTCCACTCCCCTGTTGCAGCTGATATACAATTCCTCTCTCCAGATAATGAGGTCTTTTTCTTTTTTCATAATCAGTAGTGGCCACATCACTACTCTTCTCGAGCTTCTTAACCTTTGCAGAAACCTGGTTCTTGTTTGCTGCAATATAATATGCAATACAATAGAATTCCATAAATTGCTTTCTTCTTAAGAGCTGAAAACATATGGTAATACAGGAAACATATCACAGCAACTCAGGAAGAAAAGACTAACCTAATGCAATGAACTGGGAATGTAATAAACTAATTAACCCTTTGTGCCCCAAAGTCATTAGCCTGGTGTGACATTGTACATAAACACTTCCACTCCCCTGTTGCAGCTGATATACAATTTTATTCTAATTTAGAGGTTTTTGAAAATAGTAGTAGCAGTGGCTGCCAGTAACCTGTTTTTATGCTACGTTTCCTTGGCATTTTCTTTGTAGAGCTATAAGGAAAATCATATTTAGTGCTGGATTGGAAAGGTTAAAAGAATTGAATGAACTCCTCATAAGTGTAAGTGTCTATGTAATTAGGCAACATTTCAACATAAGGGGGACCAGAATAACTGTGACTAACATACTTTGCCAGTTTGGTGGGACTCAACAATGAACCCACTTAGGTCATTCTAGGTCATTTCAAAAGCATGAGAAATTTAATTAGGCCTACATAAAGAGTTACTCCACTCTGCTACACCCTGTCCTCAGAGAGCAAGAGTCATGACTAGGCTCAGGATGCTAAAGGTCTTGACATTGCCCAGATTCCAGTCACTACCTTAAAAAAAAAGTTTCCTCTTCCATTTTCCCCTTATCCTATATAACCATTGTATCCTAATTGAAAGGAAACCTCATGAAACCTCTAACATTGAGATTATTAGCCTGATTGCAATAAAAAAATTTTTAACCTCATGGAAAATTCACCAAGCATATGAAACTAAAGCTAAGTTATGACAGGTGAAGACAGTGAAACTTAAAAATATTTATCGGAATTTAGGCCTAACACTAACAAGTACTTCACACTTTAGATTTAGTTTATTTCAAATTTCACTTCTTAGTATAAATAGCCTTATTTGACTCTGCGGTTCTAGAATTGTTCATTCACCCCTCAATATCTTACTGACTGATATCCGAAACGGTCAGACGTGTTGAAATCGGATCAATGCCTAGCCTGGCATTTATTACAAAGTACGTAGCCGAAACATGAGCTATTAGGCCAAGGTTGATGCGAGAAACAGTGCCAGACCGAGAACTAGGCCTACAAATGGAGACCTAAGACCAATATTATTAAATGGAATTGCGAATGGAAACTTCTTATTAAGCTACTTTCATATCTTAGAGCAGCTCACAAGTATCTTACCACTGAGCGAGTCCTGCATCCGTCTGAAAGCAAGGCTACCAAACCGGATATGCCGCCTTGCAAGAAGAGCACTTTCGAGTTCAGAGTACCATGGCCGTCTGTAACTACGTTCAACTGTTATCCGCAGTTCATAATGCGTGTCATTTTTTAGTGAGCATTTTACCATTTCAGCTTCAGCTGATGAAAATTACACGAATAGGAGTTTGTCAGAGAATTTTTCATTCACAGTGACCTCATAATTTGTCTCACAAAATCTCACGATGGACCTGTGGATGTGATGTCAATTTTATGGTGATAATTACAAGGTCCTCGTATCAATAACTTGTCAAAAGTGTATGTCCTCATGGGCGTCAATATATACATTAAATGTAACATCAAGTTGATGTGACTTACATACATGTCAAGTTTTTTACGAAAATAGCAACATCAATAGTCATGTCAAACTTTTCAACATGCATGAAATTCTCATCATATTGACGTAGTATTAACATGAAAGAGTTAATAAGTGTGCTACCTGGGCTACCTGGGATCTTTATTCATGAGCCATCCTTTCCTTGATGATGTTCCGTCTGGAAGGTATTTCTTCAATCGCTAAATAATATGCTCTTTTTCTGAAAAATCTTCAAACAGCATCAACCCACGACAGCATGGCAGCTTTAAGACAGTCGCCATCGCAAATTGTTTTTTTCATGCTGTCCAGTGCTTTGTACAACGTTGAAGCTTGCTGCAACCGAATACAAGGCTCGTCCATTTAATTCGCGAATTGATGCTGGTAATCATCCGATATGACTAGGTTGGCAACCCTACAGGGAAGAACGATGCAACATGGTGCCGACATTGCACAGTTGCGTGTACAATGTGATCCACCCTCACCGTAGAGCAATGAACGCATTTTTGTGAGGGTGTTCAAAGTGTCATCGTCATGGAAGATTCCCTTCAAATGGAACAGCGTTATGTTCTCCGCTTTGGTGCAAGCTTGGTTTAAGTGCATTAGCAATACTTGCAGACATAAGTAAAAATGCGAAAACGAATTTTTTTTTAACGAAAAACAGTGCTCAGGTGGCATACACAGTTTACGGAGGGGAGGGAGGGGACTCTGTCACTGACGATCCACGTCCTGGACAGCTCTCGATGTGGCGATCGAACATGAGGGATGAGGATATCCAGAGGCACGGTTGACTTTCGGGATTTTTTCACTGTCTATTACTGGTTTTAGAAGTGTGGCAGTAATACGTTAATCCTTTGAGAAGTCAAAGATTACTTACATGGTTTTTCGGGAAGGTCTGGGGAGGTTTCTTCGTCATTTCATACTCTGTTGATGGGGAGATCAGAAAATGTAAGGAGTCATATGGGGTGTTGATGCTATGTCTTCCGCAAAAGGCATTCCAGACATTGGCCAATTGGATGGTCGATAAGCCCTGAATTTCGACTAACTTATATACAGGGTGGCCCGAGAAAAGTATGACAAATTTTGAACCTTAATAACTTTTGACCAAATCAGCCTTTTTATTGTTTGAAACGGCAAAACAAAATTCAATTGTCCCTCTTTCATATGACATATCTTTTGTTTCATTCTGTTTGAAAGAACATTTGAAATTTTCAAAAAAATGTACAAAAAAAGTTGCTTAAATCGACCTTTTTCATCATTCATTTATTCTCCAAGAAATTGGACGCCTCTGGTTGACTCAAAGAGCATTAACGACTAATGTAAGGGTCAATGAGATCATCTTGTCGGTCCACAACAGCTTCCAGGCGCGTTCTCCATTCCCCTCCTTGCAGCCTCGATTGAATTATGCTTGCACTCCACAAGAAGTCATCCACAGGGTACAGATCAAGACAGTTTGGCGGCCACAGTTCAAGTTCAATAAAGTCTAACATTTCAAAGAAGAAATGTTAGACATCAGATACACCAACGTATCTTTAGCACGGTGAGCAGGAGCCTCGTCCTGCATAAAAGTGTAATCACTCACCAGCTCCTCAATTTCAGGCAACATTTCCGCCAAAACATCTTCGCAATAGCTTTTTGAGTCAATTTTAACTCCACGTTCGATTTAAAGATTCCTCGTTTTTCCTCGGGTAGACACTGCCAGCGAAACCATGACAGAACCTGAGAATTGGATTTTTTCCTGTAACAGTTGGGCTGGCGCAATTTATTTTTTTGTGTTTTGACATTCGCATGCATACGATCGTTTTGCGTATTGCGCGGACTCTCGAGAGTGAATTTCTTTTCATCGGAGAACCTAATTTTGTCCACGGCGGCGTTTGAGCGAAAACGATTGAAGAGCTTCTGACTACGATGCAGGCGCCCAAGCAGCATGTTTATGTTAATTTTACGTTAAATGAATGTAAATTTTTTTCTCCCTTTTATATCATTTTTACGCAAACCATTGTCAAGATAATGTCAACATGTTTGCAGAAATGTCACCTCTGTGATACGTAAACGGTGATATAAATTTAACGTCAATTTTATGTAAAATTGACAAGCCCGTTTGTATTCACAACAGTATATTTACGTTCATTTTACGTAAGATTTATGTTAATTTCCCACTAGCATTCATGTGTCTTTAACGAGCCAATCAGCACCTTTGAAAAGAATTGATATACTGTATTTCCCATTCCTTTCCATACTTCAGAACTTAAGGGTGGTTGGACGAGTACACTCATCCTCATCAGCATTCAAGAGTACCAAAATGGCCTACCGCTTCCTCCTCCCGTACCGGAATCTCGAGAGAAGAAGTAGATGTTCAGAGGAACTCTCTTCCATTAAGCATAAAGAAGATTTAGGACTTGTGGAACTGGGATTCTACTCTTCCCTAATGCCGCGTACTGCTGTAATAACAAGCGTAGCTTCAGCATTTAATGATTCCGTGAGTCATATATTATTTAAAATATTTAATAATTCCTGCTTTCCATATATATATTAATGGATTGCATAATGAAAAGTGGAAAGATGGTAAGAAAACTTGACACTATATCGGAAAAGCCAGTACTTAATAGCGTTTGTAGGGTGCAGGGAACAAGGGTTCCATCTAGTGAGGAATCTTGGTATTGCAACTGCGGGATGGTCAGTTAAAGTTTCATATGAGAAGTGTGATGTTAACTTTGCATAGACTTCATATCATGTACTTCACGTCAGATGGAGTGACGTCTAGTTTATGTAAAATACACGTACACTTTGGTGACGTAAGAATAGGAACGTAAATTTTACGTGAATGTGATGTCATTTTCAGTGTCAGTGACTGGCCCTCACTCCGTATCGGCAGATGAAATGTTAAAATACCTTCAGCAACGATTTCCGAATTCGCCATGCAAGTCCCTAAAGAATAATTGCCAACAAGCTGGTGTGTCGTACGGAAGTGCACATGGGGAGGCTGCAACTCCATGCCTACCGGTATTCAAGTTGAGCATGAACTTCAAGCACCTGATATGCCAGAAAAAGTACGCTACTGCCGGTAGTTTCGTATTTTTTATATCTGGAATGGTGTACATTTTTTGGACAAGGTGTTCTTTCAGATAAAGCATGGTTCCATCTCGGCGGGTTCGTGAACAGTTAAAACAACACGATATGGAGTTCAGAAAACCCGCACAGCATTCACCAAGTGCCTTAGCATTCAGTAAAAATTGGAGCGTCATGCGCAGTCTTTCGTCGACCATAGTTGGACCATTGTTCTTTAAGGAAACGGTAACAGCAGAATGATACAAGGAGTTGGTGATGCAATCCATTGCACTATTGGAGAAGGATTAGCAGTATTGCTTGTTTAACTTGGATGGAGCCACAGCCCACTGTCAAACACGTTGAGGGAATTATTTGGCGAACGCATCATTACGCGACATCTTTGGCCACCACGGTTGCCATATTTATCCCCTCCGGATATTTTTTCCTTCGGGGTACATAAAGGAAAAAGTTTGTTCTATCAACGCTCACACCTTAGAAGAACTTCAACAAAACATTGGAAAACTTTGTTTCCATCAAGGGGCGGGTCTGTTTTGCTAGTGGCACTGCCAGGTCTGCTGAGGCACCAGGAATCCGATTACGTCATTTTAAGACTTAGTTTCTCAGCGTTCTCGTAGTTCGCTTTGTTCCGCTAGCAGCTGCTTGCCCTATAGGGATGTTATTCAATGACATGGTCGTGCTGGGTCAGCGCGTCTCTTTCGCCAGCAGCTGCTAGCGGCTGGAGAAAGAGACGCCCCTAAGGCATCCTTTTCAGCAGTAAACTTGCTTCGTTGATTAAATCGAAACATTCTTCTGAAACTACATATATATTTATTTTCTTTTTTTTTTCATCATCACCCGAACAAAGAATATTTCTTCAAAGGCTACAATTGAAACAGTTTCGTTTGTGACTTTTTTGCTAAACACGAATTCCATCGGCAATAATTGAATTTATCCTTTAAAAAATAATTCGATTTTCATCAGATAGTAACATCATAATTCCAAACGACTGATATTAATTAAGACCGGATTTGAAAGAAAAAAACTTCACTAATTCTAAATGATGGTCAAGAGACTTTACTTGCAGCTAAAACTGTAACGGAATAATATATACTGTCTATGTATATATGTTTTAGAAATTGTTATATTTCTCAATATGCATGTGAAGGGTACCTTGACACATAATTTAAAATAAATCTAATTAAGTAGATATTTTTCGAAGCAAATTTTCCTGAGTGCTCAGCACAGCAATCACGCCACAATCATTCTCCTATTTTAATCTCACCAAATTCAACAATCACGGACGAAGGTTTTCAATAGTTGGTCATCCTCACATTCACCTCCCATGCTCATTCGAGAAAATACAAGGACCTGATGTTAGCTTTTACTTCTTCCTCTGTATATTGATTCCATTCCTGAGGCAGTTCTCTCGAAACCTTCATTCCGTATGTTTCCGCTAAAGCTTCTGCATGTCTTGCGATGAAACGCTTCCAGAAGAGAGGAGAAGTTTCTTGTTCCATTGGAGGAATATCCCAATCTGGATATTTTGTTTTGTACTCCTTATACGGCGTCCATTCCTCTTCATCTGATGGTTTGAACCGCGCCTCACTTCCTATGGATTCTGGACACGTCTCCAATACCATTTCTTCCGTTTTATCCCACTGAGGGTTGTGAATCTCCGTGGTGTGAAGAGTGACCGAATCATTTTGTTCGCCTTGAATGTGGTTCTCAAATGAATGCTCACATTCGGCCCTGCAAAATGGGCATCTCTCGAGACAGCCTAACAAGTTCTTCAGCAGGCGACTGATGGGCGAATCTTCATCATCCCCCCCGAGGAGGTCAACTTGAGAAAATTCAAATATTTTTTCTCTTTCCTTGATGACTAGATCCCTCAAATGTGGAACGACCTCCTTAACAGCAATATCAGAACAAGAATCCCGCACGATTGAGCTGTGCTTGATGGGATATGCCAATTTTAGGCGCTCATTAACCATTTCAATGAAGTAATCAAAATCAAGAGGAATCCTGTCGGAGTCTTCAAGGAATTCGAAAAAGTTCCCAATGGTTCCATTACAAAACTCCTTCATCTTCTTTGTGGAATCAAAAAATTCCCTTTGATTTTTTTCTTGGGACTCAAGGGCCACCTTTTCCATATACTTTCGTTTCCACTGATCAGGGCTCTTGACAAACTCCATCGTCGTCTCAAAATCATCATCTTTGATCAAGGTAAAGAAGCAGTATCCAGTGAACGTCTTCTTGTTCTTGAAAAACTTCTGCTTTCCTAAGAAGATAAAAAATTCTCGTTTTGCATGCGACAATGCTGATGCTTGGAAGGCCTTGCAGACAGATTTGAAAATACAGTCAGCAGCCCACCTCAGTTTTGCAGAATCAGATGTTGCTTCCATTTTCCCCCAAAACACCTCCTTAATTGCGAGAAGTTTCTTCTCCACTTTGGCCTGTTCTTGCTTCTGAGCTCTCAAAAAGTGTGGAACGAACTTTCGAGATGCACATATCAGAACCTTTACTGCTACCTGCCCTTTGCGGTCCTCCCTTGTCACTCTTCTCGCGCACGCGTAGATTTCAGTTATAACTCTCTTCATGCAGCCATCTCTTGCATATGCCTCTGTAATGCTCTGAATATCCAATATTCTCAGACACAATTCTGATAATTCATGAACCCGTTTCATAATTGGGCTCTTGCGGAAGAGAGATTCAAAACCTCTTCTTATTATTGTCTTCGCCTTATCTTCTGCCTTCACATCCCAGTCTTCTTGGATTTCCTTCAGATACTTCCCCGGAATCAGGTTAAGCAGTTCCAATTTCATCTTTTCCAACAAGGTATCTTCGATACCCAAGCCAGTAGAGTTTAAGCCTATGGCTTTTGTCAATTCACCTTCCCAACGATTCCATACTTTCTCGAAGGATCCATCTTCCCCCTTTCCTTGCTGCTCGATTTCCAATTCCATTTTCTTTATTACTTCGGCAACAGCATATTGCACGTGAAATTTTGCAGACTGCTTTATTTCTTTCGCTGCAAAACAATCACAGATTTGGTCCCTTTTTGCACAGACAAGGCCCCTAAGCTGCGAGGTAATCCTCTCCCGCCACATCGCATAAAATGTCCTTCCTTCAGAAGAATTGATCTTCTCATTCAGCGTCTCAGCCTTTTCCTTGAAAATTTCTTCTGCCAATGAATCGAGTTCATCTTTTCTCTTTCGGCACACCTCCTGAACCTTGCATTCGTTGTTTGCTCTCATGATTTCTCCTTTCCATTCATCCCACCTCTTGATAAGTTGTACATCCGTTTCGTGCACGAGTGACTGCACTATACTTTCCATAACATTGTAGGCCGCCATCTCCATGACATTGCGAAAGTTGAAGGCAAAGTTTTCTTTCATGATTGCTCCCCACAACTGCTCCAGATTTCTTCTGAAGACATTCAGATCCCGCCCACCGCGAGAGAGCAGTTTCCTCAAGATGAACTTTTTAATTTCTTTGCCTTTGATTCCATATTCCTTGGAGTGGATGCTGAGTTTGCCGGACTGAAACAAAGAAGGGAAGTAGTGCACATCTTCCGTCAAACTCAATTTGATAATGTCCAGGAATTTTGTTATTTTTGTATGCAAGACCTCTTCTTTTGCCGCAACCTTCATTTCAAGAGCTTCTTGTAATACTTTCAGGCCCAGCTGGTGAGACCTATCCGCATCTTCTCGCACGCTTTGATGGATGATGGCTACTTGAGGTTCTATTTTGACCTCCCTCATTCGGATGAAGCCTTGGATGACAGTAGGTAAAAGCTCCTTCGCATCTGTTGGCGTTTCACCCATGACATTCAAGAGAGTCAGGTCAGATAGTCCAATGGCAAATGTAGCCAGGTTATTATCTCGCCTTCCGGAGTAATCGTCTGAAAACTCGTGTGGTCTCAATCCCTCGGTATCAAGGAGGACTAAATAGTCCCTGGGCGACTCACTTTCTTGATATGAATTGTCAAAAGGAAAAAACTGCATGCAGACCCCCTTCGTGCACCTTCCAGTTCGAGATAAAAAGTCTGATCCAAAAATTGTGTTCAGCATTGTTGACTTGCCCGAGCTTTGAATGCCAATGACTGAGACCACCCATATCTTCCTTGCTCTGCTTTCCATGCACTTAAATATATCTTTCAACCACTTCAAAGGAATGTAGTCGTTATCACCATCCAACAATTCCATTGACATTCCATCCAAAATCAGTGATGCCATTGTACCAGGAAGGCTAGACACAATGTTCCTATTATCAGTGTCAATGAGGCATTCGTAAATTTGGGCTAACTCTCTGAAAATGTTGTCCAAGCTCAGGGATGACTCCCGCATTTTCCTCTCTACCTCTGCAAGTTGCAGCTTCTTTTCATTTCTTCCTTCCGTGTCAAAATCTTTGGCAGAAATGTTGAGTAGTTCCCAGATTTTCTCCCATTCTACTCGCAAGGGATTTAGAGCCTCAGTGCTTAGTATGTCCAATTTAATCCCCAAATAAAAAAGGCTATTCCTGATTGGCTCTGCTGGCATTCGGTCTAGGGTCTTCATAAATTCCAGGAGATTTTGTGATATTCCCCGATTTTCACTAATATAAAGAACCTGCTTTGAACGGAGTGACTGTTGCATATCCTTCCACTCATGGCTGTCGAAGAATTTATTATGTCTTTTCTTGTGCTCGTTCTTTGCGTAATTTGGCAAGACTTCCGTGCTCAAGGGCAGACATTCCCCTTTTCTGGACCTTGTCTTTCCTATCATAAACTCTCCGGCAAGTTCTTCAGCAAGAGCTTTTGATTTTAAAATTGCTCTAGAATTCATGTCAATTGCAACTCCTGGAAAGACGTCACCAACTGAGTCAGCCGGGTTAAGAATTTCACCCACATCCTTCCTGGAAAAAAATGCTTCGGTATTGGTGGTATCAGTGGGAGATTTTGAGTTGCTGGTTCTTGTTAGTTCCTCATTTACTTCGTCTCGGACCGCCTTGATAGGGCAATTGGTTTTAAATTGGAGATCGACAATCTTCACGTTAGGGTTGTTGCCTTTGATGCGATCGATATTTGGCAATGCGCATCTTCTTCCTTTCAAAAGAGTGCAACGAGCTCCCATTGTTCCTCTCGTGCAAGTCAGACGGGATACGACATCGCTTAAGGCTTGGTCACCTCCTTCCAGGGACTGTGTAGATTCATTTCCAAGAAACAGAATGACAAGTGAGCATAACTTTCCAAGGAGGTGGACTCGTTCGGGATAGGAGACAGCATCTCCCCGCAAATTCAGGATGAAGGCTGGCTTTACACTGCCATTTTCATCTGAATCACTAGTCTCTCTACCAGGAGACAGGGAAACTTTCGCCCAAGTCATTTCAATGACTCCGTTGCTGATTAGTCGTTTAGCTTCTCCGAGTGGCAATTTTGAATGGAAGAATGTGTCGTGTTTCTCAAACAAGGCTTCATTGATTACCTTTGATTTTGAAATATTGTTGTGAAGTTTTCCAACACGGATGAAGCCAATAAATGGAGCTTGAAATTCAACCAACGGGTGATAAAGACCACAGTACTTTACATCAATATTTTCGAGAGCCCAGACGAGCAACTCCAATCTTTTCTCCTTCAGTTCACTGGTTGCAGCGTGTAGGGAAACTGGCAAGACAACAGGTATTCCATGACCCATGAGAAATAGACGACCTAGCAAGAGTTGGCGGAGGGATGGCTCAGAGTTCTGGATGGCTATTGTCAGGATATCATAGGGGTGAATCTTCATATTGTCATTCAATTTTTCTTGATTGTGTTTGTCATCATCTTCACCCTGAATGTAATAAGCAAAGCCATTGCAATAATATTCATCACTTCTTCCAGACTTCTCACTCTTTCAAGCCCACTAAATCGACATAATGCATAAAACCGCATTTATATACCGAGCATTAATGATTTGGGGATTTATCGGCAAGACGATTAAAGTAGGCTGCAACAACTTATAGCATTTCGTACAGTACACTGTTAGCAAAAATGGTTCAGCTTCTATCCCCTAAAGGGTGTTTCAACTGCAACTCATATATAGGGTGGTTCAGGAAAAACGCTCTACCGTTTTCTACGGGAGAAACTCAGTTTCATAAATGCATAAAAAAAACAATGGATACGCGATCGATTTTTGACAGTTACAAGGTGTTGAAATGCTTGTCAACATTTTTTCAGCACCCCTGCCTATGTCCTGTATTACCCATTTAGAGGTGAATTAACGTGTGTAATTAACTTAATCGACCACCTGCGCTCGACCGTCTCAGAATACAACGAACTTTCAACTTTTCACGGGACAGTTGGATCCAACTGATACTTGATGGAGAGGTTCATGAGTCTAGAAAGTTTCTTTCAATTCCGCAAGATGGCGCTGTATCCCGATAGAGGACGCTCTTGTTGACCAGGTGACCGAGAGCGATTAAGAAAATGGTGCAATGATCCACCTGTAAACTGAGTAACGGGACAATACATGACTCAGAGAATTGCTCAGTGAAAAAAAAAAAACAAGAAAATCTTCTCAACACTTCCTATATGTTCAATATCAAGAGTTTATGAATCCTATATTTTTTACTCGAATATACGAATCGTACTTTCTCCCCTTTGAAAACGGTGACGCTTTCTTTTAATCACCCTCGGTGGCCCAGTCAACAACAGCACCCTCTATCGGGATACAGCGCCATCTTGCGGAGGTGAAGCAAACCTCTTTGACTCATGAACCTCTCTCTCAAGTATGTGCTGGATCCTACAGTTCATTGAATAGTTTAAGTTGAAAAGTTCATTGAATTCTGAAACGGTCGAGCGAGGGCAGTCACCTCACTTGAGGAGGAATGATCCCCATCTTAGCACTTTTAATTCACCTCTAAATGGGCATTGCGCGACTTCGGCAGGTGTGCTGAAAAAAAGCTGGCAGGCATTTCAACACCTTGTAACTGTAAAATATCGATCGCGGATCAAATTTAATTTTTCTTGTTGCTGCACTTATGAAACTGTGTTTCTTCCATGGAAAACGGTAGAGCGTTTTTTTTTTATAACCGCCCAACATATTGTGAGTAAAATACATAACCTTTTTGATCGGTGAATTAAAAATGTCCTTCGGAAAAGGTCAAGTTAGAAACCAACCAGGACAAATCTGTAACCTTCCTAGTATATATGTAACCGTACAGATGAGAGGCTTTCCTCTAACCCTATCGGATGATCTAAATGTCAGACCCCGGTCGGTATTCGGGTCGAACAAATTAGGGATTAATGTTAGGGACACTATTCACCATTATAAGATTCATATGCTCCATTGGGAGTAAAATATATACTTGTTTATGAATTAACTCTTGTTTTGGAAGACAAGTTTCTTTCCAGGAACATGTCTCAAATATGGGAATAATAAATTAGGTGTCTGCTTTAATTATTGCCTGCAATCAGGCAAGTCGAGACATGCGACGAGGTAACATAACGTACCTGTGAGGCAGATTTCTGGAAAAGAGGGAAGGGTTATTCCATGTAACATGGGAAACGGTACCTCCGTAGTTCCATCTAGAGGTTTAAAAGGGATTTTTAAATTGCATCTATAACCCTTGCAAATAAACCTCGCAATAACCCTTTCATTGTCATATGTACATTTTCTACTGTTTAACCCAGAAAATTTCGAAATCAGAACAATTTTTGGTAACACTGTTTGCATTCGCTTCCTATGTGTCAATAGAACAGTTCTATTGTGGATGAACGTGCAGCCTCAAAAATTACGTTTTTTTCATTTTCCTGTGTATAACCCACTCGTGGTAATATCCCACTCACTGAATACCCAATCGCCCCAGATCGAAAGGGATTTTTTTATTATTATTAATAGGAGGTTCAATAAACATCTAAATGACCCTTTGAGATTGTGTTGTATCGACATCTAACCTTTTTTTCAGTTTAACCCTCAAAAATATTTACCCTGAACCCTTTTTGCTAACAGTGTACAAGGCATACATTTTGGTCAGGAGTCATATTTGAAAAAATGGTATTTCTCAGATCCCTATAACTCTGGTAACACCGGAATTCTGTGGATGTAAAAAATTTCGAAATACACTTACTGTACTTTAGGATAAGGAATGTATTAAATAAAAAAAAGAAAGAGCTTTTATTTGCGCATTTGAACTCTACGAGTCGTTTTCAATTTGCACTAGGATATGTCAAAAACGTAGGCATATCCTAATGCACAGTGTAGTAAAATCGAGCGAAAAAGTCACGACATTATCGGAATAAAAAATCGCACTATTTATGTGCGGATGATGGAAAAGAAAATGAAAGAATGAATAAAAGAGAAAGAAGAATGAACCGAACATGAGAGAAAAGAAAATTTGGGGGAATTCCAAGCGGCATTTGGTAAAAAGATGAACAATCATGGTGAAAAAAATGTTGAAAGTCAAGTAAAATAAATAAAAGGTAAATCGATTTGAAAAGGAATAAACCGGGAAGCAGAGACAGACAAACATCAGAATAACATGTAGCCTAATATGAATTTGATCATTCCCCAAAGTTTCATATTGATGAACGTTTAATCTTTTCTCTCTGGAATTTTGTACTATCGATTCTGATTATGTAAAATCCTACTTTACCCAAATTTCCCTTTAAAAGTTTGCACTTCCGATTTCTGAACTTTTTTGGACTTGAACAAGTTTACTGAGTTTGCGTTACAAACCTCTTCCTTATTGGTCATTTCCTCTTTAGTAAATGCGATCAGCATTTTTTTAAAAAGAAAATTAGTGAAGCTCATTGAAATGTAAAGAAACCCTTTTATACGCACTTGTTCTATCGTCAGCTTATCACCTGAACCTGCTATTAAGTCCAGGACACTTCATGGGATGCTTTATCGGTTATGTACAAATTTCAGTTCGCTTGAGGATGCTTACCATGGCGATATCCATTCCCGATTGGTTTCGTGGCCCTGATAAATGTTGATTCCTTCAGCCCTCGAATGGAACTATACTTCACATTATTTAATTTTGATGTAAGAAGTTGCGCCTACATCAATTTCTTTATAAAATGCAAGCAATAATGTAGCTGCATTACCTTTTCGTCGTCAGTTTCTTCACATTCCGTACGAAGTTTTTCTGGCAAGGGAAGATCCATGTCTCGATAGGCTCCCGTTGTTGCAATGATTTCTTGCATAAATTCAATAATCGGTGTTGGATGTTCCTGAGATGCTCTTGTTCGCTCCTTCTCGGTCTCTCCTTTTTCTGCCAGCTCATCGGTCCAAGAGAGACTTAGAGCTTCAAGAAGCTTTACTTTCCGATAATTTCGAAGTCCAAGGCAAGTTTGCAATTCCAATTCCATGGCTGCAAAACGGAATATGCTGCAATTCAAGATAATTGGCATTCTATTAGGCTTACAGCTCTCCGTATAATATTTGTCCCACAACTACTGCATAGTTGAAGATTTTAATTTCGGTTTAAAATCATGTTTTGTTGCAGCCCTATCACCAAACTCCCACGATATGGAATATATATTATTAAATCAATATGAATCACTATCAATTGAAAGCTGATGACTTTTCTACAGCTGCGACCTGACGTCAACATATTTGAAAACACGGGTAAAACCAGTTGGCACTTGTTCTCTAGTAATCCAAGTCTTTTTTTTTTTTCATACTGTTCTCGTCTTGGTTGGAATAGGTGTTCAACGAGACATCCGGTTCCCCTAGTTCTATTTCAAATGTGGTAATAAAAAAAAACCAGGAAGATGGCACTGGCTAGGCACTCCAAATTGCACATGGTTACCTTTTTCCAGTTCAGCCACACGACTAACCTTCCGCAATCTTTTTTATTAGCCCCTCTTTATTCAAGTCAGTGCCGTAATAAACTCCCATACGTGTTCGCAAGCGCAAGGAGACTAATTACACATGTCTTCCACTGAAGGCCCCCTAAAACATGATATGATCATACAATCTCATCTTGCCATCACCAGTCTAACAGGAAATAAAGAAAAATCTTTTCCTTGGCAGGTTTGTAAATGCTGAAAATTTCATAAATTTGATGATAAGATGACATTTTTGGTGCGAAGCATTTAGTGAAATTCAAAAATTAAAATTTGGTGACTGACACCAATTTGGTGAATATGATCTGGTGACGGAGTCCACATTTCTGTCAGCTGAAAATATTTGGTGACAAGTTCATTATTTATTGGTGGGTAATTAAACATCTTTATCCCCTCCATTAGTGAAAGTATTACACACCGTGGTGACAGTACAATGTGGCTTAAAAATGTGAGGCATTGGCAGCAAAAATCACCTGAAATGATACCAACATAAGCACTAGTTTTTATACAATAATTATAATTCTATCTATATACAGGTATATATTATGCTTGGGCGTCTGTATGCCTGCAGTGTCATGTGCGCATGCGCGGCGCCTTCTTCTGCCCGTCTCCGGGTGTTTGTCTCGCTCTCTGCAGCGAGCACCTTCCCTCCGGCCGTTGCGGCTGTCAGATCCATTCTCGAGAACGTAATAGCCCGGAGGGTGGGGGCGTGGGGTAGCAGCAGGGACGTGTAAAACGTCCCCGCATAATACACTTGTAGTCCCCTTTCATCCCCTATGGAAGGATGACTTCCTCGCCGGGATGAGATCTCATCATTTCATCATCGGATCATAGATTTATCGGGATCTCGAATCCTTTATCAATCAGAACCCTATCCTTTTTTTGATCGGCATTCTCACAAGGAGAGTGACTCCCAAGGGTGAACACTGCCGGATCCCACCTGTATGGAACAGGAACCCTCGGATCGGATAGATGCCGTCTGTCGCAGAGCAACCATCCCGTTTCTCTAGCATATATTTCACTCATAGGCCTACATGAAGTGGTAGAGATGGACTTCACCGACGATACGCACATCGTCGAGATCTATACGGGATACGAGTGCCTCTCGATAAACGTCCGTATCGTAGGCGTGAACACCCCCGTGAATAAAGAGGGAGGGGGATGCTCAAGAAGTATGTTGTCGGTGGCTGCTGCGCAGAGCGTTAATGGGGCCGCTGACCGAACTCGTGAATATCCGAATATGCTACACGCTTCGCTTAGGCCGACCCAGAATTCGTGAATGTCTTCCACAGGTTGTGTCTTCGTCTCGCTCTCGAGCGAGCAGTTTCATTCGAGTCTTCGCGACTGTTCGATTCGTTCTCGAGAACGGGAGAGAGTGCGGCTGCCGCGTAGAATGTTCAAGTGCTTACTGAACTTATGGATTCCCGACTATGTTCAGGACCCTAGAAGGTGGGGGGGCCGACCACACCGGATGATGTATGTACTATTGTTTATTATTATCGTAGCGTACGTTCACAATGAAGAGTTCCAACGTACTCAGTGAGTGTATTTGAAGCGGCAGGGAGGGGAGAAGAGTAGAAAGGTACGAATATTGTTCCTTACGAATATTGTTCCAGGTCTCACAATTCATTTAGGAGACCTTGACTATCTCTTAGCCTAAGCCAGAAATTTCAAACTTGACTAAGCTGGCAGCCGGATGGAACTCTTCAGGAGTGGTTGGGCCTACAATCGCACATCTTGCACCAAAATTTCAATTGCCAACAGGTCTACTCTTTTTTAAAAACCAACTGTCGAAGAGGATTTTGCAGACCGGACGAAATGAAATAGTTGGCCGGCAGTTTGACACCCATGGCCTAGACCGACCCGAAGTTCTTGTAAATCTTCCACAGGTCATTCTCGAGAACGGGATGGGCGATTGTGGTCGATAGGAAAAAGAGCCGATCGATAACAGGGGTCGGGATTCCGATAAATGTAAGGGCGAAGATCTCACCCCCGCGAGGAAATTTTCCTTCCTTCGGCGAGACGAAAGGGGACTCCAAGGGTTCTACACGAGGACGTGTAATGATTGGGCAAGAGGGTCTGCTGCCTATAGCGATGGGTGGGCCTCTGAGTTTTAGGGCCACGAATGAACCAGGGAGTTCTTGCCCAAGAGTTCGTGGAAGTTTTCCACGGGTCGGCTAGTATAATTCTAGTTCTGATTACCTGCAGTAGCAACCCGGTCGAATTTAGAAGGATTCATCTGGATGGGTTCACTCTCAGCGCTGTATTCGCTGCCCCCGACTGAGCAAACGCTTTGAACCTGTTTCAGGAGACAGACAATAAAAATGGGATGCGATTCAGAGCATACATGGAGCAGCTTCAAAAAGGGAAAATAAGTCAGGAAAGAAACAGCAGGATTTCTTGTCATGGCACCTTACTGACTTGGGTAAATGGGTAAACGAAGTTCGTTAAAACTAACCTTAAAAACGTACTTCCTATTGGGAATAAGGCCGGATATGGTAGTGTTGACGGTGTTCTCGGTCACTGCGTGCTCAAACCATTCATCTTCGCCCATGAGTGGACGGTACGACACCCAGTATCCTTCCACGAATTCCAATCCGTGGCGGGGCGGCTCCCAAGATAGTCGGATGGTGTCCTGAGTGACCTTGAGAGCCTTCGGTACTCCGGGGATCCCTGGTGGAACGAAACATCTCGGGACCCCGTCTTCATAGAGAAAGATGTCGTGGGATGTCTTTTCGAGTTGTTTCTCCGTCACCACGAACTTCAAGTTGCTCTTTGACTTGTTGGCTTTGAAGAAACTCAGGAAATTACACATGTCTGCTTCCAATGCCAACATGATTTCTTGATCATCAAACCAAAATTGTGGAATTTCACACTCCAAAGAGGAGTTGTTCAATTCTTCTCCCTTCAAGTACGCAGACATTTGCTCCAAATACGCATCAGTTTTGGAACCGACATCAAAAACAAAACAGATGACTGATGAGATCTTCATATCTTTGGCAACGTTAAAAAATTCCCCAGGATCAAAGGCAAAGGGGACTTCATGAAATAATTCCAGGTACTTTTCCAGTGTTCTTATCTCTTCTTCTTTCCCTTTCAACCAGTTGGAGAGATACTCCTTGTTGAAGGGGGATGATATCATTTGCTGCACGATTTGGGAGAGAGACACTTCCTCGGCACCACAGCCACGAACAACCTTCAAAATGGGCATAATCCTCTGCTGAAATTTCTCCTTGTATCCGTCGACTAACGGCCGGAAGATATCCAACTGGGTTCGTACTCCCGAGAAGTGATGGCACACATTGGACTTGGCCAAGTCGTCTGCCAGGACCTTGACTGCGTGCAAAAACTCCAGAACCTCTTCCACTTCTAGAACGATTCCCACGCTAACCTCTCGAATGAAGCGGGTGGCCCTGTCATCCACCTTGTGCAGTGGGAAGAGATAGACCCGCTTTGGCACGCTCATTTTGCGAGAAAGCGTTGGGAGATCTTCGATTACACGCAGAGCTTCCTGGAAAGTGGTTGGATTCTTCGGAAGAAAAACATCCCCATAATATTTACAGCAAAGGTTATATGTTTCTGAATTTTCTGCTTCGTTCGCCCTGGCCAACGTTTCTCCCTTGGCTGATGAACCTGCGCAGGATAGATATAATCGTCTCAGATACGTGCACATATTGAACTTGCAATCAACCGAAATCAATATCACCTCTTCTCGACAAAATTATTTCTAGAATTACTGTTATCCTTCTATATTTATTGCAAAAGCTTTGCCTTACCCTTGATTTTGTCGAAGACAGCATTTAATCTCCCTTCCACATCTCGGACTGTTTCGTTGAAGGAGACGTCTCGATCAAAAACAAAGAAAGCGTCAACTCCGTACACGATCCCGGTGACGACATGGGTAGCGATGTCTTTCTCGAACACTTCGAGATGCTCGATCCCTTCCGTACCCAGTTTCTCCATGGTCAGCCCTTTGAAGCAGCTCGTGGACTTGTATAGAAGGGTTACACGGGCTTGCTGGGAGGACGACTTCCTATCGTCCAGGTACTTCCCTGAACCTGCCATTCAAATTCCGCAAATTTTATTATAGTGATAAACTTCGACTGGTAGAGGACGAAATATCAAGACCCCGTGAAATAAATCTACCATTACTCTACAGCATGCCAATCGGTCGTTATTAAAGCAATTGAGTTGAATAAATTCATCATCTCTCGCTCCAGTCAGGTCTCTCAATATTTAACTCATCAGCTAAAATAGTTCTTACCATTTTTTCTTTAAGATGATCTTAGTTCATCTCAGGAATTTTTTTGCGAGTCCTCATATATAATCACAATGTATAAGGAGAAATTTAGGACAGATGCCAATATAGGGCTGCTGTTCATGTGATAAACATTGATCCCAACACTTCAAGAACATGCCAAGTCAAGACAGAAGAGGAAGATGCGCTAATGGAGATTCCCACTAATCTTTCGTATGATAGCAGAAAGAAAGAACTTTATATGCAAGAAATAAACCTTGATTCTCTCTCATCATGTCGGCAAAGTATCTTGTGGGAACCTGATCATGATTCATTCATCGATGACGCAATCCTAAGCAGTGCCGATGCTACAATTTTTTCCCATACGTTTAAAAGACCACGAAATGAATTCAACAGGGGTGGTTTTTGAAGACGTAAAGTCTGTCCGAATTCACTTCGGAGTTGAGAAATGAACTTCAACTCTCCAAATTGCCAGAACGAATTAGTCCCGACTAATTTTGACCTAAAGTCTGCCGCGAAATAAAATTCCAATTTATAACTTGTTTGAGAAAGTTCCTGTATGTCTTTTAAGTAGCCTACCTGAGACTTTGACGAGGCCGCTGAGGAAACTGAGCTTGAGACTGGCATCGATGTCCAGGGCAGATGTCTTCTCCGAGATGCCATCCTCCGCTATGATCTCTGAAGAGCAGGACGGCAGCGGAGATTCTGTCGTGTTTTCTTCCAGCGTCGTCTTCTTCCATAGGGTGATGTCCGTCTGGATGGTGTCGCTTCGGCGGTCATAGAGAGATCCCAGCTGGAAAGGCCTGCCCAGGCATGCAAGTTCCAACGACTGACACTCCATCTCTAGCAATTATTGATGTTCTCGCCCATTCATCTTACTAGGTAATCACAGACATGTGAAGAGATTTGACTACCTTTCTTCATCTTGATGATAAAGACGGCAAACAGCACGTAGCGTTGAGAGATGATAAAGCAGACCCTTACTTAACCCAACAACCATAATAACACACCATCGTATCTCGTTCTGCACCTTATCCGTATCACTCCCAAGCAGAATTGCATCCTATTTTGAAGAGCCGATATATCGGCACCTCGGGATTCTAAGGGTTAAGACAGACCAGATTCCGTTCTGTATTCCTATTCGCCCATCCTTCCCCAAGAAAAAGAATTTCAAAGTCCTAAAAAAAACTATACTTAAAATAAAAGAATGGATGAATAATGTGAAATAAAGCGCAATGGCGAGGAGTGTAAACAGTGCCATGGAATAAAATGACCGATGAAATCCAAGGAAGATATCAACTTCTGCGGAAAGTTTCATAAAATGCATATGACATTGAAAAGGAGATAGAAGGATGCTTGTGTGTGTGCGCAAGGGGGAGGTGGGTGGACGTAAATCCCCATCCTAAGAGCAGCGACCGCGTAACCAGTATTATAATGATGCTGAAATTCTTGTGGAGCCCCCCTGTTCTCTTCGCCTAGTATCGTCCCCCCCCTCCCCCATCCTCATGATGTTCCCTTCAAAAAATTCGATATACGCAGATTTGGGAAGATCCCTGAGGAGTGATTCTTATTCGGCCCTCACTGAATACCATATGGGACGATCGTAACCTCTGTACCTCTGTTTCCTGTGATATGGAATCGCAAATTCATGACCATAAAATCAAACAAGAAAAGAATCAAGATGCTTTTCCACCTTCAGAAAAATTTACAATAGTATGAATACAGCAGGATTGTTACTGAATAATTGGATATTGAAATGGGTTTGTCCTGGAGTGAAATTGGTGGGAGACCTCAAGATTAAATATGGTGTGAGTTTCCAAGGATTGACGTTCATGAAGGTCCTCACGCTAATCAACAAAACAAAACAAATCAACAAAATGATCGTCGTAGCTTCGTGCATTCTATTAAAGCTTGCCTCGAATCGCGGCTATAGGCACTGTATATCAACATCCCATGGAATGTGAAACACGCAAGCCAACTCAGGTTCGATTCGAATCGTGCCCGATCGTGTTCCAACCCGGAAAATTTAACCCGTGCAGGCCTCCGACGCGTAGACAGACGGGAGGACGCATGACAACAACGTCGCATATGACATTTTATATTTTTAGACCCAATAAGTACCGCCTCCAGGTCTTAAGCTTTCGATTGGCACCTCTCTTATTCAAATCCGCTCATCCGCCTAGGAGGAGTTTCCCGGAATGACAGACACACCGACAGATTAGCCTCTTATGAATATGGATATTCCAAATAGAGCTACATTTCTTGATTCTTTTATCTTTGTGCATATACGCAGGAAACTTTGCAACGTTTTTCTCACACGATAGGACCTCCTAGTTCGCAGGCGAAACTTAGAAGCGACGTTCACTTAGGTCTCTGGTTCGACACCCCTCTTCTACCCGAAGCCTCTAGCTAGGGTGACCAGCCACAGTATCCCAATCACATGCAATACTACTCGCAGCCAAGAGCGTTGCAATCCTGCTTCTCATAACAGTCCCTAGATAAGAGTTAGCTGGAGTCTCCTTCAATTCTTTCCCTTCTCCACAAATGTATTAACAGTGCTAAGTTTCCTATCCTTAATTGTACGAGGAGAAAGGTCGTATGCAGTAAGAATTAACTACAGAATTTCAGTGACTTTAGTGAAATCCACATGCGTGTATTGGCATTATAGGCGCGACCTCGCTGATAATGAGAGAAGCTTATTTTTACTAGGGGAACGGCCAGATGGGAAGTCAGTTGGTGGGTCTCATTTTCTTTGCCCGACCCACCAACGATTCGTCATCGACTCAGTCCATCGCAAATCTGCCGGACAAACTTCGAGCAAATGAAGAGCAACACCCTTTCCCTGGACTTGAACCATGATCCTCTGAGATGAAAACTGTAGTCGCAATTTAACCCATCCACTCTCAGGCTCTTTCAAATATCAACCGGAAGGCCACCGTACATATGAACGAGTGAGCAAACGGAAATATTAAAACCAGGCGTCTTTCGGATGTAGCATTGCAACTTGACACAATGGTTCAGGAAGCAAGAACTCTTCATAATGATGCTGAATTTTCTGCTTGTACTCAGTGCAGTTAACGGATTTAAATCTCCTGCCGCTGACAGATATTTTCCACAAAGCTCGTAAATACTCGTTAACTGCGCAATTATTCACTTAATATCGGAGCATTTTCTCGAAAAGTTGCGATACAGGAGTTGTACCTTGAGGCCATGGAAAATGCATTCTGCGGCACAGTAGTTGTAATATTCGTCCGATGAAGGTTATTGTTGTATTCTTCAACTGCTTAGCCTCGGTTTTTATTTTTCCAGGTACTCAGTAAGATCATGTGTTTCTCAATAAGTACCTAAAAAAAACTTCGAGTTTTGATTTTAAGAAGCAGTTATGGCTCTGAAAGTATGTCGTTCGGTACCTCATTCAGTACTTAAACTTTCTGTTCCCTTAAGAACAAGTAACTGGGACATGGAATCGCATGGTCAATTGTCCGTTGTACCATTGCAACAATATAGGTTAGAAAAAGGGCTTCTGTAAAAAAAAAAGTCTCGTAAAATGCTGTCGAAGGCTGTATTTCAGACCTCTGCAAGACTATTTTAAACAGTTGACATTGAATGGAAGCGACCTGGAAACGCCAGTGAAGTGTAGGGAGCACGCAGTCGGCACCAGAGACGAGCACAGCCACTCGAACACTGTAAAGAAACGGGGAAAAAAAGCGGCTGACATCGTCATCCGTCGACTGATGCAGTGATGCGAGATGAGAGGTTCCAGACATCCTCAAGGCTCTATTCATTGGAGGAAAGAGGAGACCCGAATGAGTACTCCGAGGATCCCATTCAGTATTCGTTCGATGGGAATAAGTTAGAAGGTCGAGCCTGTGCTTCCCTCACAATGATTCCCTTCTAAATGAACGAGAAGTCAGAGAGCAAACGTCGTTTCCGTGACTGCACGCCAAGAGGTAAATTCTAAAAGCGGTAAACCCGCCGACATTCAAACGCATTTGGTACTGCCGGTGAATCTGTGCTCACGATGATCGGACCAGAGGAATGCAAATGCTTCTTGATGGTGCATATGACGTGGTGATACAGATGACTCATGAATGAATTTTCGTGACGAACGAGGAACTCGTTCTTCTTTTGCTGCTATTCATTCTGCTTTTCACCGAAGACGCAGGCCCTTGTAACATGTGCTACTCCCGTCGAAATCGAGACGGCCTTCCTCATCGGCACCGAACGCATATCGAACGCATGATTTTAACCCTTCGATTGGCTCTTACACGTTAGCGCGTCGGCGAAAGAAATGTCATCTCTACTATTCACGCGCATACGCGTTTTCAATTTCTGTCTCGTTAAGGCCCATTCACATTGTCCTTCGGCGAGGCTTCGCAGCAGCCTTGCCGAAGGTGCGACGTAGGGCCCTCGTTCACATTACCCGGCACTCACTTACGGAGAACCAATGGTAAATGCGAGCAGACGATGATTGCACCAATCTCAGTTCGATGATGGAATGAAGATGGCAGCGTACGTGAGACTGGCGCTCTTGCTCCTGCTCCTCGACGATTGGAAGGGCATTTTTGAGACCTTAAGTGACGTACGCAAACCTGGAGTCAATCGCATTGGCTAGGCTGTTTCAGGTTTTCAGAGTTCGTGCTGACCGCCACATCAACCGGCGTTCCTATTGGCTTTCCGTAAGTACCTCATCGATGCCTCATCGATCGGCTATCCGTAAGAAAAGGTTGACTCCTGCGAACTCCTTGCGGCGCTACCTCGGAGTAGAATTCGTTCCATTCTTTTCTATGGGCGTGTTCGGACTGATCTGCGCCGCACCTTCGCCAAAGGAGTCCGACGTGAACGGGCCTTTACTGGTGCCGTCGCATGTGCATCGTCGATGGGAGACTCGAAAGGAATTCTTCCCATCGATTCGTCTGTCGAGAATTTCGTGGAACTTCGTTCTGCTTGCAGAAAAAACTGCACAGGGGCTCAAACAGCCTGAGTAAAACTCGGCACCTCGGGGGCTAAGTGGAGGAAGCAACAGAGAGAGAGCGAGAGGGGGAGAGACGAGACGGAAAAGAGACGGGAGAGCGCGGACCCGCCATACGAACGAGACGAGAGACAGTGCGAAGGAAAGGTCATCTATCGAATAGATAGGATGGAGGACACATTCACCACGCATGGGGAAGGGGGGACGCGACTCAAGGACGCTCGTCCTTTCCTCCAAAACTCTAGCATATCGTACGACTAGGGAGAAACGGAGTCTCGTATAGTGACACCACCACGGTTCGGAATCTCATTCCTAAAACTGAGATGCCGGTGACAGTCTCGGCCTTTCCTTTCGTCTAGGTCACGATCGAAAGTCAACACCTATTGCCTTTTTCCGATGCGTACGTATAGGGGAAATTCTGATTCTTCGGCCGAGTTTCCCTAAGATCTAAGTCTATTGGGCTAAGTCGATCGTCTGTCGACTGATTCCGACGGAAATTAGCACTCGTAACTGCATCGCTTCGGTGATCGATAGATTATCCTCGATCAGATCGGCAAGCTTTCTTTCGACCGGAGACTGGAATCGGTCGATGATTCCTTCCATGCCTTCTAATTGCCTTCTTTAATGTTACGGTGGTAGAAAGCGAAAGTATCGAGAGAAAAGATGGGACGCCTTCTGCTTCATTTATTCCACATTTCAGCAGAAAAAAATGAAAGCGAGGCGAACGACTGACGTATCGCGAGGTGCACTCTCGAGAACTGCTTTGGTTCCAACCGCTACGAAACACCGGTTAGGTTCCCACTTCCTCATTATGTATGTTGCTACTCGGAAGAAAGAAACCCGATAGTTGCTCGAAG